GTATGGTTACTCGCTTTTTCAACGTTTCTGAGTTTCCCAAGTGTAAACTACGTAGATACTTGGCTACATAACGCGATTGTTTACAGACCGCCGTTAGAAAGCTGGAATATTGCTGAGTGTGGCGTTAAACAACAAACGAACGAACCAACGAGATCTACATCCATCTGGTCAACCCTGTCCACCCTGTCACCCACCGCAATTTACCCACTTACCTTTTAATTCAAATCGTCTAAGCCAGAGAATAACAGTCTCTCTTATGTGCCGAAACAAGTTCCACAGCGTGTAAATGCAAAATTGTGCAAATGATCAGAGACACAATCAATCAGGTATGACACCAGGTCCTCACGAAAGGGTAAACATGCCCTGCTGTATCTGTATAACCTTCTACTCACCTAACGCTGCATTCAAACAATACTTCTGCCACACGGCTCTATCACTAGCCCGCCTCTGTGGTCAAGTGATAGAGCATCCACACGGAGAGCGGAAGGTCCGTGCACGTCGCTATATAAGTGTACTAATCTTCGACGTGACCTTAAACCCAATTTCCATTCCCTACAGGTCTATCTTCGTGAAATAACGTCTACCTTTCGCATTGAATGCGTCAGCAGCACTGGGTTCACAGTGATCTTAAAGTATCCACATTGTCTGACCTGGTCATGTTTTAACGATGGGAACGATGGGTGCGTCCAAATCACTGAGATCAAAGTTTGTATATGATACCAGACTGCTCAAAGTCTATCCAGATCAGCTTCAACATCCTCCTGGAGCGGATATGGCACATGTCTTGTCTTGAAGAATCTGGGTGCAGAATCATCTGGTAATTAACCTTGAGGTGAGGTGAAATTGGGTTTAACGTTGCGTCCAAGATTATTGCACTTATATAGCGACGTGCATGTACGTGTGTATGTGTGGCTCCTTGTACTTGTCCTGACTGATGCCTATTTATAGTGCTAGCTCACTGAGATACCATGCCGCAGTTCAACATGAATACCCCACTCAGACACAGTATACTGACTCCGAACCGACCAGTCCTTGTTTTAGCCCCTTAATGTCGAGCGCCAGACTGGGTAACAACAAGTACCATCTTTTAACGTCTTTTGGTATGACGCGGCCAGGGATCGAACCCCGGACGTTCCGCTCCCCGGGCGGACGCTCTACCTCTAGACCACGGAGGCGGTCAAAATTTGCCTTTACTTCATTCAACTTTACCTTCCGACTTTTACTTAATCATTATCGTCTAAAACGTCTGAAGTCTAAATATATTGACTCCAATTAACAACAAAAACACATATTTCATAAACAACCTGTGAAATATTTGATGAAATATTGATTTTTAGTTTACTTTTCATTTTTGAAAGTCAGATTGAAACAATTTCAATATCTAAGACAAAATTGTTATGGATGATATCAATAGCGAATGGAGTTGAAACAATGTTGATACAATGTTTTTCAAGTAAGCAAACTCAGATCAACCAAATTTCAACATTAGAACAATGACAATGTTGGGATACTTCAGTGGAGGGAGACATTATTATAAAGTATGAATATCTGCGTAAGTTGGGGCACAGGTGATTATGAAAATTGTAAAAACACATTCTCGGTGACGTGGAGTTCATTTTGTCAGGGGGCGGTCGGGTAGCCTAGTGGTAAAAGCGTTCGCTCGTCACGCCGAAGACCCGGGTTCGATTACTGACATGGGTACAATGTGTGAAGCCAATTTCTGGTGTCCCCCGCCGTGATATTCCTGGAATATGGCTAAAAGCGGCGAAAAACCATACTCACTCACTCAACCAGGCAATAAAGATCAACAGAGGTCATTGTTACAACATCAGAAACCTTTGAAAACAATAGGTTTCTAACTGAGTAACATTTCTCTACTCATGTCGCCAGACAACAATATTGTAATTTGTAATATTTTGTTATATTTTGATCAAGACCTGATTTGAAACCACAATAAAGTATGTATATTAAGTATATTCACCTGATCACGAAGACTGACGCTTTTTTGGATTGTTACGCGGACATGTACAATGCTCATCTTGAAATATGGTCACACAGTGTACTATAGAAATAAGGCAGGGTAATAACAAATTCGAAGGGGGCTCGAACCACCTATTTTCCGCTCTCTGGGCAGACTCGCTTTATTTTTCCCCGCAAGCCACACACAGAACAACAAACCAATAACAGAACGTCCCCTGCGGTACAAGGAGAGACGTTTTTGAAGCCCTGAGGCGTTATAACAAGACCAACACTGATACGTAGACAAATACAGGGTACATAATGAATATTCATGCTTGGGTGTAGTTCAGCACATAACCTTTTGTCATCTACAGGTTCAAGTGAACAACCGATTTTATAAACCTCAGAGTGTTCATTTGTATTGATCATTAGGTTTCTTCAGACTTGAGAAAGACCCACATGAGGTTTTACTTGCGTAGAAAACCCGGGACTTACTGTGGAAGACCCGGGGACTTGATTTTCATCGTTATAAAAAGTTACATATTTCAGATCAAGTCCCTGGGTCTTCCACAGTAAGTCGCCAGGACTTCCATACCCTATATTCTTTTTTAAAAAACCGCAATACTAGATTTTCTTCACTTTAATTGAAGTTGACATTAACAATGATATTCTTTGCAGGCCCCCTTCCTGCGGCAGCTCAGAAACGGTGTAGGTCGGCATTTTTAGTTTTCGTTTGTGTGAGAAATAAATCGTCACCTTCCTCTCTCTCCCACATCTTGCCACTAAATGAAACTCGACTGTAAGCTGACGGAGACGCTCACGGGCAATGCGTGCGTGCACGACCAGCACGTGCATGACACCAGTAGTCGTCACTCAACACAGCTCACGGATGCGTTTATAGTCTCGTTATATCGCATATAAAGTCCTCGTTATTGCGTATCTCAATTAGAATTAACTTTGTTGGTTTATAAGTCAGATAAAACACTTATCCTCGGTTTTGGTTGAAAATGTAAACCCGCCCGGTCGGAAAGATCCTGCGGGCCTTCGGCCCTTAGGATCTTCCCTCCCAGGCGGGTTTACATTTTCAACCAAAACCTCAGAACGTGTTTTATCCTTCACATGTATCACGGATGTGTGACTCATGGGTATATTAATAACTTTACAACATGGCGTCCCATTTGAAACCACCCGAGCCTTACCTTACAGGGAGAACGTCAGCCCTTAAAGTGGAGGCGATTGTTAACATTCTGAAGAGTCCAGATGAGAGCAAGACCATCCAGACTGCCCCCGCCACACCCCAGGGAGGGGAGGTGTACCTCTATAAGATAACCTCGGGAATGAGAGAAGGTGAGGCAGTTGTGTTCAGGCTTAATATTACCATGAGTCAGGGATTACTACATATTAACAATGTTAATATTTAATGGAAAGCTGATATTATTTATTACACAATTTGAATTCATTGGGGATGTTAAGCACACATGACCAATGTCCTCAAAGCCACATTCATATACATGTACGTTATTAGTAATAGTCTGCTTGACGTCGGGGTCACCCTGCCCTGGTATCAGCTTCCTTGTACAGCCCTGTGATAACCGGTTTTTTGTTTGCTAATATTGTTGACAAGTGATTGTCGTGCACAAAGTGACTACATGAATTAAAAATATTTGTCTGTATCATTGTTAAAACGACTTCTTTTGCAATATTTTCTATCTATGTTTTTCTTTTCACTCTTTCCAACCCCCTTTACAACAATTGTGTACTTAAATAATGAACATTGTTTGATGTCAACTTGTAAAAAATCCATTGTTGGATTAATCAATATGGGCTAAACAAGAATCAAGTATCGTGTTGCATCTCAGGTAAGGAAAAAAGGACATGGTATTTATCATCACAACCTCAAATACAACATGTTTATGCATGACCTAACAGCTGATTTGGCATTAAGGTGGGTTGATTTTAGAGTTATGTTACACTATTGACTGTTCACAGTTTTATTAATTAATCAACATCACAGGTGACACACTAACACATACAGCTTTTTGAGGGATAGTTCATCTTCAGGATTACAACATTGTTTGCAGTGTTATGATGTTAATTTCTATTTGCAGATATCTGGAAGGATGACAAATATCACTTCCGAAGTGATGGAACCCGGAAGCAGCCTGGCTCAAGTCCAGTCATAGTGAAGCAGTACCACAAGGCTTACACCGAGGACAAGACGACAACAAGGGCCTTTGTCAGAGAAGCTTCGTATCTGTACAACCACCCTCTGAAACACGTTCTAGTGCAATATATCGGGGACCACACACAAGCACAGCCTTTTTCTCAACGAAAGAAGCGTGGTCAACAGACACTTCATTCCCCAGGTGACAGTAAATGTAGGAAAGTAGAATCAACTGGTGGAGCTGTGCAGTCGGGGGTCATGGAGAACACTAACTCCAACCTGGACCCTGAAGATCATTCATCACCGACAGAATTGGAAGACAATGTTAAATCAAACACTATTCTAGGTGTAACACTGAACGAAGCAAAGGTGTCAGAGACTGAAACAAAGAATGATCACGACACAAATCAAAAACGCAGCAGGACAGGTGATCATAGAGGTGATGATGACATTGATTATTTGGGTACAACGTCAGGCTCCCCTGTCAAGAAAGCCCGTTGGCAGCCTCAACTTGAAAATGACAACACAATTGTAACCTGTGTCACAAACACACACTATGCTTATCTGTACACATTTCTAGAAGATGTAGAAAGGAATCGGGATGTGATAAGGGTCGTGCGACAAGTCCTAGCATTATCTAGGTTCTGGAACAAGGACTGTACCAACAAAGGCAATCCGTGCTTGTCACTCATTGAAGAGGTCGACAAGAACTGGAATCTAGATGCAATTAAAGCAAGGAACTGGGTTAAATGTTCTGTAAATACTGACGTGCTGAGCTTGAACCAAGACAAGTCAGTTTACATAAAGCTCATCGCAGCAGTACTTGTTGGAGCATGCCATACCAGGACTGAAGTACAGGACTTTGTGAAAACACTGAAGGATCCTCCTTCACACCTGCAGCATGTACAAGAGGACGTCCCCCTGTCACGTGACTGTACATACACAGTTGGCTGCTACACCATCAGAGGAAATGTTCTGTCTCGCCTGGAAACCAACGAGTGGCTGACAGATGAAGTAAGTAGTCCACCTGCAATATTTACACAATCACACAAACTACATGCCTAGTTAACCATCCAAGAAAATCATTTCATAGAGCATGGGAGGCTTTCGATTTCATCAAATGATGTTAGTATTAGATATAAACTGGGGGCGTGAGGGTGGTGAGTTGTTCAGTCACCTAATACTCATTGATAGTGCCTTGAGGTAGGCGAGCTAGAGCTTGAGTTTGGTTAAACGCCTCTTTTTGACAGTAGTGTCATGGTGCGTTGGATTAAATTATGAAGAAAGTAATGCACATCTTTGACGTTAACCACTTTGTTGATTCCCATGGTGAATCTGCATAGCGAAATGCGGCGCCTTGGACCACTGAGACCCCATCTTCAGATTAATACAGCAACTTTTGGCGGTTTCTACTTTTTACACCAGTATTAGTTAACTATCAATTCATATAATGGTGCTAATTATCAACTCATTGCCATGCATCTCGATTCTGCAATGATGGCACTACTCACCTGCAATGGGCATTGTTCACAAAATCTAGTACATCACCAGTCAAATTGTCAGTCATTGCTATCAGCCGAGATATTCTCTTCATGATGAATATGTGATGTGCAGCGGATCCTGCTTTGATTTGAAATTACAAGCGTTCCTTTTGAAGCAAACGCATTGGGCGATTAAACAGTATAATAAACATTCTAATAAATGAACTCTTTCCTGTCCAGATCATGGACACATACCTGCACCTCCTGGAAGGGGGAGTGGTGTTCCCGTGTAGGCTTCCACTGTCTGGTGCTGCCTACAGAGACAATCCTACTGTGGGAGGCAGGACAGTACACAGACAGAATAAGGGGGAAAGATGTGAGTGACGTGAGATTTTTATATTTCTTATAATTCTGTCATTCCGAGTGTACCATTGCATGTCCACCCTACCATGAACATGGGCAAGACTCAAAAGATATTTTGCAGTAATTGTATATTTTTTGTGATAACATATGATTCGTCTATGCCATGATTGCGTATTCAGTATGCTAGAAGTTGTCACTTGCAATTGTGCGCACGAAGCGACCATATGCTGCAATGGGTTTCAATTGAGTCAAAGCCAGTAACCCCATTGATCATAATGCTATTCGTTTTCAATATGCAGTTACAAAAGCAGATATTGCACATGAACATATTCGTCTTGCTACATATTATTTTATGAATTGAAAATCTGGTTGTCAGAGAGGGGTCTTTAGAATTTCTTAGTTCCAAGTTCATGATACCAATTCACTATTATCTCTGTTACTGCATCATATCCATCTTATGTGAAGCACGTGTTTCTGGATATATTGATCGTACACCGGAAAGGCATTTGTTGTGAACTTTCAGGAAAATTTGACAAACTACACGTGGATCTTAATGCCAGTGAACATGCCACGTAATCAACATTGGGTGCTACTGGTGGCTAATGTCAAGGATGGAACAGTGGGCGTGGTTAATTCTAAACCCTCCTTAATTGTGGAGGACAAGGTTGTACAACACTGGAGGTAGGTGGACAGAACAGTGGGCGTGGTCAATTCTAAACCCGCCTTATATGTAGAACACCCATTTGTACAACACTAGAGGTAGATACAAAAAAAAGAGGACGTGTGGCTGCACATTATAAATGTTAAAACCAAGCTATCCAATTTGAAATGTTGAAATGTTGATTTCTCAAAAACAAACATGAATGTAAATAAGATCCATCGAAAAATGTTCGATACACCCACATTTGTAGCTTTTACTTTTGGGTAGAAGATATAGAACAACTTGTTCACAGGGTTACCCAGTTCCCCAAATGGGTACACTGTGTGAATGATTTAAACGCCATAAATACAGTTATGTCACTCATTCATTTAAACCATAACATCTGTATTTGCTAACATAAAACCTAATTATGGACAAAGCAGGAGAGAACATCAGAAATGCCAGGACCGGATATTTTAGGCACTGCTGTATTTACCTTCTGTTCTACCTTTACTTTAGCACCAGTCCACATGAGTTGAAGACTTTATTGCCATCGAGTAATATACATGTATTCCTCAGGCTCTTTGTAAATCACTTGAAATCTACGTCTAAGGAAAGGAGCAAGTCATGGATGAAGAAACAGTACCCAGTGATAGAACAGTCTGATGGACACAGCTGTGGGATATTCGTTCTGATGGTAGGTTGGTTTGAAGCTATGTTTTTGATATGAAAGGCAACATGTGTCTCAATAACCACGTATGAAAGATACCTTTTCATTTCTAACTTTCATATTCTCAGGCTGCTGATGCAATTTTGGCGGAGAAGTCTCCAGGCATCATGAGGAACTGTCACGTTGAGAAAAACAGGCTGTATGTGCTTCAGAGGATACTACAGTATGCCAAGGACAAGGGAGATATGCAAGGTGGAGGAAATCACATGATGGCAGTTGGTGGACAGGGTAATGTCACAAACGAAATTCAAACTGTAACGCTGGAGACAAGAGATGTACTGGAAAATAGCTGTACAATGACAACAGAACAAGGAGGTCCAACTATTCATGAAGAGGATGGACATGAAACACATGAAGGACCCGACTGTGCTATGGCCAGTGATGAAAGTATGCATTCTGGAGATCATTACTATGTTTCGTAATTGTAAGTCGTTACGCAAGGTATTATATTTTAGATCTACATGTGCAATGTTGTACACTGCTTTCTAACAACCGCTATTTGTTTTCACAGATACAGAGGACTATCCATGTTTGGATCAGCACCTGTTGCATAAGCAGGAGAGGGCGTGCTTGTTAGTGGTTGCTTTGGCGGAGAATAACCTGGAGGAGAGGATGCTATGGGCAGGGTCTGACACAGGGACTCGCGTCGAAAGAGAAACCTACAAAAAATATATTGTTTGGGCAGTTAAGGCTTTTGACATCAATGAAGAAGAATACACTGAAAATATGATGAAACCTATTTTATCCCAATTGGCGGGATGCTGTCTCCATCATGAAGCAGGCTCATATAGAATAAGAAATCATAAAGTAGCAATAAAGCTAAGAGAAATACTGCTACGTGATGTTAGGCAGTTGGTTGAAAGGATGGATCTCGAGTTCATATATCGTTATGTGACATTTAGAGATGATCCAACTGAAGAGGAACAACTAAATGTGTCTTTCAACCTCGAATTGAAACATGATGATCTGCATATTGTAGCGAAGAGGTTTGCTACAGCTTTACACGGCAGAAAGTTTGCCTTTGTGTGCATGCATTCCCTATTCCAGGTAGAGACATTTGTTGATATGGTTTGGGAGAAATTGTTGCATAATATGAACAAGGACAGTTCTGTACTGTTGAAAGTATTGTCAAATAATGACATTGTACATGGATATTCCTTTCTGTTTTGGGCGAGCATCACAGACAACTCACATTTGTTGAGGAGAGCATTGTTCAGTGTTCATTTGAATGCAGAGAACAGAAAGGAAGCTTTGTTTGGAAGTTGCTTTGGGAATAGTTTAGCCAACTTCGATTACTTGTTTTCCAATAAAAACTGGAAGTTGGATAAGTTGTGGATGACACTACCCAAACTCCCAAGACCTCTCATCATTAAACTGCAGTTGGCAGTTGCAGATGATCTGAGAGTAAAGTTTGGTAAATGTTCACTTTTGGACATTGCCTGTGTGGGTGGGTTGTCTGCAGTGGCTTCCAGATTGTCACATTTGATGAAGACGAGCAAGAAGAAAAACAAGTCAAGAAAGAATACATATGTACATGTTGCATCCTTGTGCCTAAAGGGCAAAGATACCATGGATACAATTACAAAAATTGGAAAACTGAATGTCAATATAAAAGGCCCTGAAGGATCAACACCTTTACATTACGCATGTGCAGTTGGAAATGTTAGCATTGTAAGCTATCTGTTACAGGAAGTAGTGGACATTGGTGAGCAAAACAAGAAGGGTGAAACTGGGCTTCATTTGGCATGTATATATGGAAATGCAGAAGTTGTTACAATGTTATTACAGAACAAGGGAATAATTCATGTGAAAGATAATGCTGGCCTCACACCTCTACATCGTGCAGCCTGGCAGGGACATCGGGTGGTTGTGGAGGTGTTATTACAGAACAAGACCAATGTGGATGAGAAACGTAATGATGGCAGCACACCTCTACATCATGCAGCCTACCAGGGACATCGGGAGATTGTGGAGTTGTTATTACAGAACAAGGCAAATGTGGATGAGAAAGATAAGGAAGGCAGCACACCTCTACATGATGCAGCCTACCAGGGACATAGGGAGGTTGTGGAGGTGTTATTACAGAACAAGGCAAATGTGGATGAGAAAGATAAGGAAGGCAGCACACCTCTACATCTTGCAGCCTACCAGGGACATCGAGAGGTTGTGGAGGTGTTATTACAGAACAAGGCAAATGTGGATGAGAAACGTCAAGATGGCAGCACACCTCTACATGATGCAGCCTACCAGGGACATCGGGTGGTTGTGGATGTGTTATTACAGAACAAGGCAAATGTGGATGAGAAACGTCAAGATGGCAGCACACCTCTACACATTGCAGTCAACAAGGGACATCGGGAGGTTGTGGATGTGTTATTACAGAACAAGGCAAATGTGGATGAGAAAGATAAGGAAGGTCGCACACCTCTACATGATGCAGCCTGTCAGGGACAGAGGGAGGTTGTGGAGGTGTTATTACAGAACAAGGCAAATGTGGATGAGAAAGATAAGGAAGGCCGCACACCTCTACATCGTGCAGCCTGGCAGGGACATCGGGTGGTTGTGGATGTGTTATTACAGAACAAGGCAAATGTGGATGAGAAAGATAAGGAAGGCAGCACACCTCTACATCGTGCAGCCTGGCAGGGACATCGGGTGGTTGTGGAGGTGTTATTACAGAACAAGGCAAATGTGGATGAGAAACGTCAAGATGGCAGCACACCTCTACATGATGCAGCCTGGCAGGGACAAAGAGAGGTTGTGGAGGTGCTATTACAGAACAAGGCAAATGTGGATGAGAAAGATAAGGAAGGCCGCACACCTCTACATGATGCAGCCTACCAGGGACATAGGGAGGTTGTGGATGTGTTATTACAGAACAAGGCAAATGTGGATGAGAAAGATAAGGAAGGCAGCACACCTCTACATGATGCAGCCTACGATGGACATAGAGAGGTTGTGGAGGTGTTATTACAGAACAAGGCAAATGTGGATGAGAAAGATAAGGAAGGCCGCACACCTCTACATAATGCAGCATACCAGGGACATCGGATGGTTGTGGAGGTGTTATTACAGAACAAGGCAAATGTGGATGAGAAACGTCAAGATGGCAGCACACCTCTACATGATGCAGCCTGGCAGGGACAAAGAGAGGTTGTGGAGGTGCTATTACAGAACAAGGCAAATGTGAATGAGAAAGATAAGGAAGGCCGCACACCTCTACATGATGCAGCCTACCAGGGACATAGGGAGGTTGTGGATGTGTTATTACAGAACAAGGCAAATGTGGATGAGAAAGATAAGGAAGGCAGCACACCTCTACATCGTGCAGCCTGGCAGGGACATCGGTTGGTTGTGGAGGTGTTATTACAGAACAAGGCAAATGTGGATGAGAAAAATAAGGAAGGCCGCACACCTCTACATGATGCAGCCTACGATGGACATAGAGAGGTTGTGGAGGTGTTATTACAGAACAAGGCAAATGTGGATGAAAAAGATGAGGGAGGCAGCACACCTCTATATAATGCAGCCTGGCAGGGACATAGGGTGGTTGTGGAGGTGTTATTACAGAACAAGGCAAATGTGAATGAGAAAAGTAATGATGGCAGCACACCTCTACATGATGCAGCCCGGGAGGGACATCGGGAGGTTGTGGAGGTGTTATTACAGAGCAATGCAAATGTGGATGAGAAAGATGAGGAAGGCAGCACACCTCTAAATCGTGCAGCCTACCAGGGATATAGGGAGGTTGTGGAGGTGTTATTACAGAACAAGGGAAATGTGGATGGCAAACGTGATGATGGCCGCACAGCTCTACATGATGCAGCCTACCAGGGACACAGGGAGGTTGTGGAGGTGTTATTACAGAACAAGGCAAATGTGCATGAGACAGACGATAAAGAAGAAACTGCTTTACAAAAAGCAGAGGCACAACATCACGATGATATTGCATGGCTTATAACTGAGGCAACAAATATAGATGACCTGACAATCAACCATGGTACAATTACAGATAGGTAAGAGCAATGTGGAAATGATGCTTGAGTTGACAGCCCAAACACATATATTGTATAAGCTGTTTTGCAGAACAGTTTTGAAACTTCACGAAACCATATGAGACCCCGAAGAGGACAGTACCATCAGATATATATAAAAAATATCTATTTCAGCTAAAAAAGAATATGGACAGAGCATTTCTACAAGGCCCCCAAAACAACATACTAAAAGTCCCAAATCAATCAATCAAATATGTCATGAGAGACCAACAGTGTATGGATAGTTCATGTATGTCCATGTCTTGGATTTTTGGGCCATTCAGTTAGTGTGACAAGTTTTATGCATATAAGTCCCAGCTCACTGTTTCAGAGATAAAAGCTTCAACAGTCTGAACTCATATTTAGGAAACGTGTCCGCCATCTTGAAATTGCCAGACATCTTGATGTTTTGTAGATTTGTCAATAGTCGAAAACGATCAATAGCTGTGAATATCTTAAGAAACATAATATGGCTATTTTGCAACACAACACATGCTGTTTGTCATCAAAACATTGAACCTCATCTGAAATATGGAAAATACCATTGACAGTTGGTTGCCTTATTTGATTATGTAAATTAGACATATTTCCCAAACTAAGATTGCTTGGGACTTTAAGTATGTTTTGGGGACCTTGTAGAAATGCATTGTGGTGAAATGAAATCTATTGCTATATGTTCCAAGTGAAACCTTATTTTCCATGGCCTACATATGTCAATTGGGACTTTGTAAAAACGCTGAAATTATGTTAACCAATATTTGAACTTAATTAGGCTTCACTGTGTATAATATTGAATGATTCGTTGGTTTACGTTCATGAGTATGTGGGGCTTCCATTTAGTTTGGAGTCTTTTTCATTAGATACGAATTTTGAATGCGCTGGAGGCTTTTACATCTTGATTTTGTATTATATGTCACAATAGCATCACTATTTTGATTAAGTCCTATTTTCTCTGAAATGTTGCGTCAAGTGCATGTGATATTGTTTCAGGGTGACAACCGATGGCCAGTTTCTTATGAAATCATCGTCAATTCCACACGGAAACTACAACAATGGCGGTTGGCTTACATCCACACCACTAACATCAACGTGCCCCGTGAACCACACATCAGTAGAATTGCCAGGGGTTTATGTTCCGAGTCAACTGGGACAAGCAGTTTCCACAGACAGACAAAGTGTTATGGAAGAGAGATACGTCGCCTTGCAGTCATCCCAACCATATCATATAGACGGAAATGTTAACAACCTCCTTACAGATCCTGCACGCATGGAGATACGTTCACCCAATCAAAGATCAAAAGCCATATATGGAAACTCAAGTCATGTTCCCACCTGTGTCCATGCTCCAGTAGTTGGTGACACATTGCCTAGTTCAGATACCACTAGTAATTCTGAGAATGTCATCATTCACTACACTGAGTCTGGGGAAAAGATAGAGCTGCAGCAGTTCTAAAAGTGGTCTAGAAAGGAGTTATCATTGTTATTATGGTGTCCAGTGTTACAGTATACATGTACATTTTTACAACCTCCTTTAGGAGTCAGCCGTCCGAATTTGGTTTGCAGAAAGTTATTTGTCATTTGTGTCGATGACAATCATAGGTCTCTAGCGTGCCCAAGGGACGCAACTCTGCACAGCGAATCGCGGCGCCTTAGACGACTGGGCCACGCGTACCCCCGTGTTATGTTGAAAGTAGTGGAGTGATTTGTGTCGATGTAGTTTTGACGTTTCGGTATGCATCTCGATTCCATAAAAACCCCATTGTACTTCACAAATTCTAGGCTCATGCCTAACTTTAATGTTTAGAAGATTACATGACAGTTTCTTACAAATGTTTATAACTGGACATATGCAGATTTCAGTGTGTTCCGAACTTTCTTAAAGCAAAGTGTTTTGTTGAAATTATTCGGAGTGAGTTCAGATTGACGTACACAATGAACGGTATTGCCACTTTGATTTGTTTCTGCACCATTTCCAGTGTCAGAGTTGTGAAGTCTCACCCCCAATACGAAGCCATGTAACCTGTTGTACATGCAATATAGACTTTAAAGTATGTTCACGGTGACTTCATATTCAGGTATATAATGATTTTTGTATTTCAAAGCAATTTATCCTATTAATTTCCATGATGTCTTGGCAAACATGAAAATGCTAAGATCAAATAGAATTCTTTCAGCTGTGTCCCTTGAACAAATACAGACTATATAGTCATGGGCAAAACAAACCAGTATTACATTCTTCCATGATATCTGACATATTCTTATGTGACATATTATGTGATAGATCACTGAACGAATCCCCGTAAGATATCGCTTTTATTACAAACATTGTATCTGAAAACGTATCTAAGGAGCGAATGATGTTGGAAGCACTATTGTACTAACATTCATGGTGTAATTTATATACTTTTATCATCAGATAACTCTTGTTAGTGCTGCATTAGTTAAATGGCCTGTTATGTATTGCCCATAGTTGACCCATTGTATAACCCCTTTGTGACTGTAGACCTACAATTACGTTTTACAATAGAAGTTGTTTTTTATTTATTTGTATTTTGTGCTGATTTACTGATTTGGCAATATAGTTTGAACCGTTTTCTATTATTGTTACCTGAATGCTCGAAATGGGTGTTTTGAGTTCAATTTATAGTCCCCAAAGTTAAAAGGTAGAACTAATCAAGATCCAGGTCGAATTCAAATATTTCGGAGAAATCGAACTATTTCTTTGGTCCCCAGGAGTTCGAGGCAATTGGGTCCGATTGTTCCTTTATGTTTATATATCTGAATATGTATACAGGTAGAAAAAGATGCTTTTCCAAACGCAGTGAAGTCAAACAGATTGAGCCATACCAGTGCAGCGTGTATCATAATCAGAACCAATCACAAACTATATTTACTATACTGATCTAAATAAACACTTTCCCTACGAAAAAGACAAATAAGTGTCTTTGTTTATTATAATCAAATAAAGAAAATACGCAAAACCAAACCAAAACAAACTGACAATTGAATGAAGTTATCCAGGTTACATGGCATAAATAAGCAGCATGTTTTGCAAGCACAATACATGTGTGATGATCAAGCCTGCTAGAATTGTCATCATACACCATTGCATTTGTAAATACCTTGCTCTGAAATGAGGTGGGCTAGACCGCCTCCATTGTCGTATGTGTAGAGTATCAGACAGACTTATTTCGTATGTGTGGCCATGAGGCCAATAGCACAATGACATTTTATTGTAAAACAATTCGTCGTGAAGCACCACTTGTATATTGATTAGATTGTAGCTAAATATGGTGTACGCAGTTTTATTTATATTCAATGTATTAGCCCTCTTTCAAATATCTTATAAACACAAACTGCAAGTCTGAGAAGAATGTTGCTATTTTTGCTGTTCATTAACTGTACAAATGTTCTTTGTGATGGACACGTATAATAATAGTTAGGCAGGTATTTGATTCTTACTGGACATATCAATAAAACATGGTATTCATTTTCTTGGTTATATTTGCAGAAAGGACACATCGATGTTAAAGCATCATTATCTTTGGAATGTCTGTATAATTGTAAAGTGAGGGTATGTACACCACGCCTGAACATCGTTAAGCATCTGCGTAAAGGAAGAGTATCTGCCCAGTAACGTTAAAATATGGTGGTCTTGTTACCCCGCCTGGCGCTCAGCATTAAGGGGATAAGACTGGTCAATTTGTGGTCAGTATACTGTGTCAGAGTGGGGTAGTCATGTTAAAACTTCGGCATGGTGTATCAGTGGCTTGTTCTGTAAAAACGACATGAGCAGACACACATACATATACACACACGCGTGCATGCACGTCACTTCATATAAGTGCAATATTCTTGAACGCAACGTTTAACCTCAAACCTCTTTTTGCCTTGCCTCACCTCTACAGAGAATGAATCAAATGAGGGAAAAAATAAAAAAATGCCTCCTTATTTATGCTCGGCAAACGTATACTGAATATTGTTTGTGAAGTCAGGTCTGAAGATTTTCGGGGTACGAATGGCCCAGCCGTCTAAGGCGCCGTGATTCGCTGTGCAGAGTTGCGTCCCTTGGGCACGCCAGAGACCTTTAATTGTGGGTTCGAATCCATGTTCGCCCAGTTGATGTTTTTATAGGTTTGTCAGCACCATACCCGTGCTCTTGGGTTTCACCGAAGTGGTAAACGTCTGATACATTCATCACTTGGGCTTTCCTCTCACATTAAGCTGTCACGCCGTGATATAACTGGAATACTATCGTAAGCCGTACTGCCACCGCCGTTATAAACATTATCCTGTCTTGTATCCAGTCAACAAAGTCAGTTGTAGACAATGCCAGGGATAGAAAAGGTTGAATAATGCATACCACGTTTACGGTAGCTGGTCAAAGGGAGGCAACTCTGTTTTCAGATATTATGTTAGCATTTGATACGGAAGTTATCCTGACGAAACCTGGATACTGTGGGTAAAAAGCTGACAGGCGTATTGTCAATAGAGGCATCAGCTGTAGTTGTTCGTACTGGGCTTAAATGACTTTGTGTCTGAATGTGGCAAATGTACGTAATAATGACGAAAGGTTCAATGAAATGAAGTGCACTGATGTTTGAACGGCTTTAAATGTTCTGTTTTGTGTTGAACTCATTTTCCAGAATTGAAATAGTATTTTCCTGTTTTAAATCATACCATGAAGCAAATTTGTTCTTCACCTCATGTACATGCAATTTTGATCTTTTGATCACCACAACCATTGTACCTGTTACCTATTGTTCAGGTTGTGAGAAAGGGAGAGAAAACGTATATGCTTACTTATGCTATTTCTAGTGATATAAACAGAGGGACGGTTTGAATATTTGAAACGATGTACAATATGAAGGTTGTATAGCACTGTGATCGAACTACGAATTACGAATATGTTCTGATTACTGACTTGAATAATCAGTTTTTTATTCAATTTAATTTAGAAAGTGGAGGTATTTGAATTCGTCAGAGATGTTTGTATGGATAAGAGCGACAAAACCCTTTGCATAATCACAAGAAATATATGTGGTAAGCAGACGCCATTTTACGATCATGACTTTATTAAAAGCATCACTATGAACTGTCATTATTTACGGGAGATATTTCACATGTAAAATCGAATCCGTAGCATTCTAAATTCAATAAATATAAAATGTCAGCGCCAGAGAATAACCAGTCTTGGATATCCACCAAAACAGATTCCATTGGGCGTAAAAGGCAAAATAGGGGGGAAAACTATAGGAATGGATTACGGAAAATCACTGACGACACCACGTCTTGTGAAAGTGCACGCATGTCCTGCCCAACCGGTAGGAGCCGCCATTGGTACAATCTGACTCCACGTGTAAGAGCCGCCATTGGTACAATCTGACTTCACGTGTTCTTTGGGTAAACTTGCAAATGCAGAAAACACAAAGAAACAGTGATTTGATAAATATATTTACTGATCGCTGTAAAGTAGAGGTGAGACTACAATATCTCTAAACAAGGTAAAAAGGTATGACGATAGTCATGTTCGAAATGATAAAAACAAAGTTTCATTTCTTGTAATATTTCTCCGACCGAGGTGCAATTCCACTGTCAAGGAGGGCCGTCACTGCAGGATGTTGAGAATGTTCTCCCATTCGATCGTGCATCTCTCTTTACATGTCCATAGTGCTTTGACCAGGTCCAGATAGGTGGCCGAACTGCCATTCCTCTGCTTCCATTTAGTGAGCATAATCAAGATCTGCATATACATTGAACATGGGTGTGCAACTCTACCCTGTTGGATAGCCACAATGCTGAGCCCAAGTTCAATCCCGACATGCTCAAAGCCGATCCCGATATGTCTCGCAACAAGTCCGAGATCTCGTGGAGTTACAGGAGTCTTCAGTCTCTCGTTCACACGAATTGTTGAACCTACACACAAATCTGTATTACGTGACGTAACGCCAAAATCATCACATATAAACAGGTTCTGTTTATTGTGTGATTGATATGTGATATCGAATTAACGTATCTCAAATACTGATCAATAATCATCATTACAAAATGACAGAAAATGAAACTGTGTATATCCTCTGATATACGTATATGTCGTCAAATAATGACCACAAAGTTGATAGTAATACTGAACAAATGGGATATATAACCAAATTTCTGAAATCATTTTTTTTCAAGTTGAGACGTACAACGTCTTACACAATTATCTTTTTAAAATGGGAATTTAACGCACCTCTCCCTATGTTCTGATGGATGCAATACTCGATCAGCTCGTTGTTCGACTGGTGCATTCTCTAGAACGAAAAGCACACAATATCACGTTGGTCAATAATTCTGTTACCGTATATCCACTATTAACCACACAAAATGCACTAAGCTGAGGATTGAATGTTGTGTACATGTTATATTACTGCTAGCTTAAGTGTATAAATATCTTCATAGAAGAAAGTTATTAAGACGTACCCGATACTGAAGTCCTGAGAAGCACGAGACTAGATTCCCCATGTTGTCTGTATCTAACTTTATATGACGCCGAAGTGCACTACTCTGTTTGTTGATCCTACCTGACTGAATCAAGACCTCTCAGCTACATGTGAGAAATAGGGGAATACCCTGTACCAGGTTGGACGCAACTTCTCTCTCGATCCAAGGCTTCCATCAAGTGAGTGAGTGAGTGAGTTAATATTTAAAGTCACATCGGCACTATTTCAGCCATATCGCGACTTGAACAAGTTAAACATTTATATTATATATAAAAACCTGTCGCCGAAGGACAGTACAACAATTAGCAATATATCACAGATTATAATTTTAAAAACTAATTTTAGAGCAATAAAACGATCAAATTAAATCAGACGACACAGTATAAAAACGGGCTGTAGATCGCCAGCAACCGAAGCTAGGCCACCATACTAGGGACCATGGGGACTTACGGTACTTCTGCTACCTACATGGTCCCCAGCAGGATTTACACCATCCCTCGGGCTACTGGCGATGATCAGAAATATTAGCCAAACAGTTAAAATCAACAAAAATGCTAAGATTAAAATCACAGCAAAATGAAAAGATACTTTGAATGATACCGGACTTACGGACCTTCCCAGGGGGACAATTGTTTTACGATACTTCAACCCCCTGTGAAGATACAGCCACTAACAATCCAAGTCATGAATTCAATTTACCAAATTAAAATCACTTTCTATATACTATACATATTATAATCAA